GTGAAATGTGATGCATAGTGCAGGTTCGTGTTTGGTATTTTTCATCCGTATTTGGAATCATTAGTGAGCATCTTATTCGGAACGTAAATTGTTAAAAAAAAAACGAGATAGATGGTAGGCTAGGTACAGAACAAGACAATCCGTGACWTTCACAATGTATATTGGCTGGTGATCTAGCTACAATCCCGGACAAAACTAGTTGAGACACTGGCATTTTTTAACTGAAAAATATCCCATTTCTCATATCTCTAAAAAATCACTGATTTTGATCCTCCTCTCCCCCCACCAAACAATGTCGTGTGTGTGACGTTATGTTAGAAGTGTGTGCATGATTGTTCAGTCCTTTCAACATTGATTTGATAGGGAAAGGGGGAGCCATTTGCACAGAAATACGCAGATACATCATCGAAATTCAGCCTATTTTAAGAAATGTCTCAACTGTTTTGTCCGGGATTGCAGCTACAAATGATATGAAGATAAAACAGTTCGCTTCTTACCTCGAAAAGGTTGTTTTTCTGCCTGGGATGATGAGAGGTTCTAAGATCGRTTACTTCTTTGCTCTCTGTCCCTGTCGTTTAACTTCTCTACTTTTCTCTGCGATGGGCCGTTTGCTCTGCGGAGACGGCGTTTTTCTTCTTCGCTCTTTCAGAGGCTAGCTCGTCTGAGATGTATTCCTTGATTACTAGTCCAGCCATCCTTAGACTTGTTGGCTGCGCTATTCGAATCAGCTTTTGTCTCATTTTGATGAGGAGTTTGGCTTCGTTTATCAAGGCATCTAMAGCTTTATTCTCAACTGCATTTTCTATCTTGTGTTTGTCGAGTCTGAAAGCTTAGATTGGATTTGCAATACTGTCGTTTTAATTCACGATTACAAATGTCATAGTATTATTTAAGCTTATTATATTGTTTTGTTTGTGTGTAGAGTGATCGTGGAGGTAAAGTTAGAATAGAGATTCTTGGTAAGTACTAATACTCACCTGACATATACACTCAAATATACACGTTTTGAAAATAGAATACTCCGATTTCGAGTTCTAGTTTGCTCTGTGTTAGCCTCAAAACCAAGCAACATATTCTTTTTTTTCATTGATAGCCCGAGAAAACGCATGGGATTTGAAAAGAAAGACAATGGAATTGATTTAAAATCTCACACTTTTATTCTCACAGTTAAGAATGTTTTGCGCACAAATGAGGCTAACACAGAGCATTGGAGAATTCGAAACTGGATTATTTTCGAGATTAAAGAAACCCCAACCTATCGAAAATCAAACCCTTCCATACGAAAAACAACACTACAATAATTATATTTTCAACTTTGGTTTAGTTCTCACAGACGTCGATTGGCTATTTTTCAGATGTGCAGAATAAGAGAGAGTGTACAGCTTTTGTGGGCGCTGCTCTAAATCTCCATACATTCTTTTTTAGTTTTTTTTTTTAAGATGCATATTAGAAATTTCTAACCGCGGTTTTTTTTTCCAGACGAATCGGAAATGGAAAGAACTCATGTCTTCTATAAGATGTGTGGTGATAAAGTAGTTCAAAAAGGGGTAAGKTTAAAGCTTAAACTGATTTTCTACTAGATCATTTCAAATAATATTGTATATCATCTTCTGCATGTTTTAAATTTTTTAAAAAAGAAGTTTGCCCTGCTTTCTAAAAAAAAATTTCGAAGAGAAGGAAGTGCGACTATAAGATACTGAGGGTATTTATTACTGACGGGCAGCCATAAAAATATAGTCAATTGTCAGTACTACTCAGTGTGTGGTTACGACTTTTTTCTTTTGATAAAAAGAAAAGAAAAATGAGGTAATGAGTGTTTCTTCTTGTTGTMCTTTGAATRATTTCTAGTAAGAAAAAGACAAATCTGGKTTGAATCTCGACTCAYGAATAAGCAACGACMCGTTGATGAAAATTTRCTTATTTCTCAGGAGARAGGTGACTATGATGAATACCCACCAACACTGCTAAGGTGAGCTTACCGACAGGTAAAATTAAAAGCTCGTCAAACTGAGTTTAGCCAATTGGCGGTAAAATTCAAAGCTCGTCAAACTGAGTTGAAGAGCTCATTTTAAAGTATTCATTTTTGGTAAATATCTGTTCCCTGTTTTCGATGCTCTCGCGATAATATTTTTACACTTCATACCCAAGCAAAAAATGCGCAAACAACTCTTAGAACATCAAACTTACTTTTCCCGTTGGAATACCTGAGAATTGTTTTATACGAGGCAAGAAATTAGGTATGCACTGTGTTGGACTTGTAATTTTCTCCTAATTGCCCACAGTTTTTACTCGAAATTGCTGTTTTTCAAGTTCCTCGCGATAATATTTTACGGTCGCTATGTTGACTAAAAGCTACACAGAAATGTTTATTGATATCTCTTCTGTCATTACCCGTCAGAATAGTTAAACAAACTAAACGCTGGGTATGATAATTTTGCAATTTAAAAGTCAAACTTGACGGTTTTTGCCTAGTTTTACTGTAAAATTACCGTCACGTATCAATGCGCGCATTCAAACTTCGCGCTAGTACCATGTAAGGTCCCGGATGGATGTCAGTCAATTCTGCCCGATGAAAATGAGAGAAAAATTGCCCCATGGCATAATGACGTCACATTATGTTTACATTGTGGATAGATGCTCAGAAAGACTCTTGAAATTTGGACCTGTTAATATCCTTTCCGAAAATAGAACTTTAGTGTATCGAGTTTTGATGTACAACATTTATCAGTGATTGCTCCTATACATTTTATTTGATATGAAGCCACTCTCTGCGGCGACCATAATCCTTAGCGTTAAAACAATAAAACATTTTGGTGTGACGTAATTATACTATAGGGCAATTAAGGTTGTTCATATTAGAGATCTTAAAAACTTGTTAATAATTCACGATCTATTTGATTTTTCAAACATTGGGTCACAAAATGACGGATCTTTGAAATTCCGATATAAGGGACTGCGCAATATTTATCAGGATGGGGGGTTGAGCGAAACCCCAATTAATAAACGAACAAGAGGGGGCTGTACAGTTTGCTGATAGATATTTCAATTCTCCTTACAATCACTAGCCCACCAATCAAATCTTTCGATATTATAAAATTGTGAAAAAAAATTTGGATAAGTTTTTCCCACTTTTGTGGTGTGCATTCTATTACCGTTCCCCGTTATTTCTTGAAGGCATCTCCGCTCTATCCATCTATAAATGCTTGAATTAGAAGATTCATCAAAAATCATTCAATACAGGTATAGTGTGAGTAACAAGGGAGTACAACTCAGAGAAGTCGAAAAGGGAAAACTCCACGTGAGAACATTGGTCTCAGATGACGGTAATTATTATATGTAATAGGACTCCATGCTGTCCAATTAAGAAATAATTGGACGAGGAAAATTCCGAGGACTGCCAAAAATTGGACGAGGCCGTGGCCGAGTCCAATTTGGCAGTCAGANCCAAGACACACAAAAAAATTATATCGGTCTCTTTTATCTAAATTGTAGAGCCTGTTTAAGACAATTTCGGGTGAAATGTATACCCTGTTTAAGACAGCAAGGCCAAAAACCATACCCTGGCCAGCGGCACGTCCCCGTATAGCAAATATATGGGAGTACCCCCCCCGGGGCGTTCTATAAACAATTCTACATACCGAAGTAAAATACATCTTTTGGCAACCATCAAACAATGGGCCATCACAAATCCTGAATACTCCAATTTCTATAGTTTTGTATTAGCCTCAAACCAAGCAACCTATTCTTTTGTTTCATTGATAGCCCGAGAAAATGCCTGGAATTTGTGAATTAAGACAATAAAATTGATTTGAAATCTCACACGTTTATGCTCACAATTATGAGTATATTGTAAACAAATGAGGATAATAAACAGCATTGGGGAATTCGAAACTGGATTATTTTGATTGTCTACGTGCTGAACTATAGTATAATTCATGCTGGATCATCGGATAAAGCGAACACAGAAGAAATGGGTTATTGTGTTACTYTGTCAAATTTGGCCCAAACTTTGACCAATTTGACAGTGTCTAGTTGTTAAAGTGCACATAAAGGAATTTTTTCCCGTCTTCTGAGCCGGGAAAATTTCTTTTGGGAGGGACCATGGTGCGGCCCTACAAAAGGGAGGCTGYGAAGGAGACTAGACCTTCTCGCAAACCCGACAACTTTTTTTGAATTGCAAGCGTGCATTCCTAAAATCATTTTAATTTCGCGCGTTTGAATTTCGCGTGCAGTCTTCTCGAAATTAAGTGAGAATAAGGCTTCTTTTCACAGATGAGAAATTGCAAGGTTGAAGAGGTACCACTGAGCAAGTCAAGTTTGAATARCGAAGATGTTTTTATTCTTGATTTGGGATTAACAATTTATCAGGTACTACTATACAGGCATGACCGGTCCAGCCAGGATCGTAATTATACGTTTGCAATTGTGACTGCTTACTAACAATCACTTGTTTTATAGTA